AATATAGTTTAAAAGAATTTTTGAAGCACTTTTGTGAAACATTTTCAAAAACTAAGGACAGTTTCTTGTAAAGTCACTTGATCTTGGCTTGTCCCATGCTGTTCCTTTTAGACATGTTTATGAAACACTGATAAGTTTTGCAACACAACATAAATATGTGTTTGTTTATTTATTTGTCTTCTATATAAATCTAGAATATAATTCCAACCTTTGCAAAACCTGCCACACTCAACCTTAAAAACCAGAGGAAGGTCATTATCTATGTTAGATTTAATTAAATAAACACACAACCTATGGGGTCCGCGCTCTTTATATACATATATTTCATGCTAACTTAACAAACTTTTGATTAAAAAATCAGTGGTTTAAAAGCTGTGCATTGCCACTCTGCAAAGCATAAGATATATATGTTTCAAATTTGATCAGAAAACTTTACACTATAAAAATTGTTTTTCCACTGAGGAAAATGCAATTATAGTAATTTGTCTCGAATTTAATAAACAAACTCAGCTATTTATGAGAAGTGTTTTTCCATTGTGCAAATTAAAATATTTTAAAGTATATCATTGTTCAGCAGAGTTTAAAATATTTAATTTTTCACCCATTAACACGCACAATGTGTTCTATTGAATCACGTGCATTTTCTCAGCTTTTTGAAAATGAATTTGTAGTACAGTCAAAAGGTGTTAATCCGGACTCGTCGGGAAATCGGCGATTCCGAATTATCGATTTTTCCGGATTATAGATGATCAGTTTAAATCTGGTAAGATGGCATGCAGAAATTAGAAAATTAAAAATATGAAACCATAATTTATGAAATAAAGAACAATTATGATCTAAAGGGTATCGAAATTTACAAAAAGAAAAAGCTTAATATTTATTTGTTTACTTTATTAAACATTTTTTTCAATGTAAGTTGTTTAAGTTGCTTCGTTTCATGTGATCATATTTTCTCTTTAATTCTATTAAACAGACATAATTTCTTGTTTAGTTACAAAGTTCCGCTGTTCAAGTCCTATAATTGCTGTGTCAAGAATAGTGACTCATTTGTCAATCGAAATTTTTTCGTTTTCAATAACCTCTGTGTCGCTTTCTTCACTATCGGAAGCGAATTATAATAACGAGGAACTTGATTTAAATCATATCAAAGAAGGAGTATATCGAGATGAAATACTACATTTAATAAGGAATTATAAGCCAAATAAAACAAAAACATCTGCCCTGAAGATAAAGATAGTGCTGACAGATCAACTTCCAATCCGCTGCGTGAAATTGATAAACAGATTTTGGATTTCAAAACATACTTTCGCTTTGTAGATACAAATTACATATTAGTAAATATATATTGGAAATTCTATTTGACATAATTGAAAGTTCAAGCTTACTTTTATAAAATTGCTCTAACAGTCTGCAAAATATAATAAGCCGGATCCAATTTGAAGATTAAGGAACAATGCAATCTGCAACATTAACTGAATTAGATAATTTTAGCTTAGCTTATACCGTTCGTTACACATTAAACGCGCATGTGTGAACGTATTATGTGCATGCACGTATTCGCAGCCGTAAAGGTGTTACGCGCACGCGTAAACGCCTATGCGCATGCGTCAAAGCGACACATGCGCAGAAAGTTTGTAGCTTTGAGGTCCGGATTATGCGTGTCCGAATTAACCATTTTTGACTGTAGTTGTCGCAGAGCATTACTTTCAGTCACTTTACTCACTTCACAGAGTTCACGTTGCTTCTTAGAGAATCACTGTAGTATTCTGTCTTGTTGTGGATCCCAAAGAACTCAGGGAACATCTTTGTTTTATTAGTAACAAAATGGTTCAGGTCTTTTCCTTGAAAAACTAGATTTTTACCCTCTAATCATTTCATTTTCTTTTTCTTTGCAGGTTTAGTTTGTAAATTTTTATATTTTTTCATATTTTCTTATCAGTCTGAGTAATACATTTTTCTAAAAATAGCCAATTCTACGTGTGTTTCTGACAAATACCAAAGGTGTCTCTTAGCAACTGTGAGAATGCTTCCTTTTTTTTAGGTCTATATCTGAATGGATGCTCAGAAGTTGTAGCATATCCAAATCATTCTTTGGAGCTCATCAATTTACAGTTGCTTCGAGCCAAAAGTGAACATATAGGTGGCTGACAAACCTGTTTCATTCCTTTCAATTCTCATTGAGGAGTATTCAACAGTTTAGTGAAGAAGACAATTTTAAATGTATATATTGCCTTTGTCATCTACCTTACTTAATGCAGAGCCCTTGGGATCCAGAAATTGAAGTCATTTTGAAACCAACTTCCTAAGTACAGGAGTGAGAGTCATAATAACTCTTTGTAGTCTTCTTTTCGATGACTTAAAACTCATTTTTTACTTTAAAACTCATCTTTTAGAACATTTTGGAAGTAGTTAACCATTTTCACTTCTTGATCTTCAAGAAAGCCTTAAATAGACTTTCACCATCCAGCATCGTTGTATATGATTTCTTATCAATTGAAAACCACAGACTTTGGAGCTTCTAAAAAATCAGAATGTCAAGACCACTTGATGGTATGCCACAATGCTTCTCAAATACTCTTTTCAGTTTTGTTCATGGATGCGATGACTGCAAGCCAACCATAGCAATATTTGTCCAAATTTCCTTTCAATTCTGGTATGTGACCCTTGGATCAGTCCTGTAGTCTACGTTATAGTATCAGAAGACATACCAATGGTATTATTATGTATCCTAAATCGGTCTACTTCCCGAAGAACTACTTCAGCCACCTACTTACCAGTGCCTTTCTTAGGGCAACAGGTGCATCATGCAAATGCTCAAAATCTTTTGCCAGCTGCTAGAACTGCAGCTCTATCATCAATGGATTATTCAAGTTTGGTCGCTCCTATGGACAGCTCAGTGCAACAATTTATTATCGCAGTGCAAGACCAAATGAGGAGGAGCTGGAGATGCAGAAATATTTATTTATTTATTTATTTTTTAATTCTCTGCAGTTGCTGTAAATGAAGTACTTGCTTCATTTATTGCAACTGCAGTGAATAGTGAGAGATTCTCCATCCCAAGTAGATGTGAGCGTCTGATCGAGATTTTTTAATCTAGGACTTAAACATCATTTATTCATTGCTGGAGGCGAAAACTCAGCCTCTTCATCACTGGATGCTAATAACGATGGAGATGAGTCTTCCAGTATAAGTGCCTTATTTATTTTAGTGATAGCATTGCAATGTTTATTCTATGAATCATTTTTATCTTTTTTTTTACATAGTTCTTATTTTTGAGGCTTGTCTCCCATTGTAAATCTTTCTTGACGTAAGAAATTCTTTATCTTCTTACGATACTCTAGTCATGTTCATTATATTTTGCCGGGAAATGTCAAACAACTCAACAAAGGTCACCTTATTTGTGTTTCTCAATTTCTCTATACCCAGATTTTGGTATTTTTTGTACAGCTTCTATATACCAGCATGGATACCATCCTGCATGTAACAGAGATATTTGCTTTCCTCTACACTTCCTGTAGTTTAGTACTGATAGATTTAGCAGCATATGAAAGTGTTTCTTTCATTTCCTTGTGTTGATAAATATAAACTAAAGAATGGAACCAAGCTTCTAAAACCCAACACTAGGCACCTTTTGTAGCAGCTAAATTCCTCTTTTGGTTCCCATTTTAAAATTCAATTTCCTTGCAAAAGATGAAAAAAATACGCAAGAAGCTATTAAATTTGGTTTTGTTTTCATGCTAGGTAATTTGCTTAAGAAGATATATTCATTTTTTCATTAGTTTATGTTATTATGTGTGATAGCTTTTTCTATTATAAGTGATTCCATGAATTCTGTGGAATATCTTTTACAGTATATAGATCTATTATTTAGAAATTTAGTTAATGTGTGAGAGAGTACTAAGGTCTTCAATATTAGAAATTTAACTAGTTTGAGATAAAAGTGATCAGTGTGTGCTACCTCTAAATATCCAATCTTCTTGAAATTTGGTACATGTATCTTTTACATCATTGAGACTCAGGGCATAAGCAAATTAATATGAAAATCACATCTTTGAAAGAATGAAACACCTTAATATATATGCATATATATATATATATATACGTAGGTGGCATTCGTAGGAAATAGAATTGTATTTCTAGTATAAGAGACTGTAAAGTTATGTTTATGTATTCTTATGGTACTTAAGAGTATTAATAAATTATTTTGAAGTTTATTTTGCAGAAATTACTGCAAGTTAGACCACAATTTATGTTCTTTTTATATTGTATAATTTTGGGGATATTACAGCGCTTTTCATTTGTAAAAGTGGTGAGGAGAGAGTCTTTTAAGAGCCACTTGAATTTTGAAAAGGATTACTGAAAGTAGAAGATATGGAATGGGGTTTTTTAGAAATGAAATTTTTTTCAAAGGTCAGCAGCATTCCAGTTTTCGGGAACCTTCTAAAGATAATTTTTGACTAGTCAAAGCAAGAGTTGTTTTTTAAGTGAATGTGATAGGTAGGTAAATACTTTTTTTTTCTTCTAGAAGATTTTTTTTAATTTAACGAGAAAGCCGTAATGATGAGTTTAAATTTTTTCAACTCTGCTTAAGAATACTCTATTAAATATACATTTTTAATCAGTTCCAAGAATAATGTGGTATTAAATTTGATTTTGTTTTTATGCTAGGTAATTTGCTTAAGAAGATATATTCCTTCTTTCATTAGTTTATGTTATTATAGGTGACAGCCTTCTCTATTATAAGTGATTCTATGAATTATGGGGATTATCTTTTACTAGGAATTTCGTTAATGTTTTGAAAGTTTACAGCAATTTTTATATTTCTGAACTTTCTGTTAATTATAGGTGATTCCATGAATTCTGAAAATTATCTTTTACTGCATATAGATCTATTATTTAGAAATTTAGTTAATGTGTACATGTGAAAAGCTTATAGCAATTTTTATATTTCTGAACATTTTGCTAATGATTCCAAAATGCTAAATGTTCTGTCTTTCTAGCCAAAAAATGGAGAACCTCAAATTAGAATGCTAACAGATGAGCCCATTAAAATAGTTGATAACCATTTTGCTATTCCTCCTGGAAAATTGGATGTTTTGAAAGCACCTAAACATTTTCCTAAACCTTTGGTACTTTTTGCTTTGCGAGAAATGTCATTAGTTTGGCATTTATATGGAGGCAGTGATTTCAAAAGCAGCCCTGGTATGAATGATATTTGTAAATTTTACTGATATTTTTATCATTGTATCACTGCATGTATATTTTTAATGCATAACTTTCATACATGAATTAAAAATTTATGTTTCTTTCAGTTTCAGATACCTATTGCCTTTTAGGAGTGTTTTTTTTTTTTTTTTTAAGCGCATGTGAATACTTGCATTTTTTCTAGTTATAAATATTTTAATGCTTGATATGTAATTGTTTGTTATCTACTCACTCACTTCAAAGTTTGTACTGTTTCTAACTAATAGATTTTATTATTCACAGGTAAGAAGAAAAGAAAGGCTAAGAAAGTGTCTCATAGGTGATTTGACTTTTAATCTTTATTTTAAAGAATCTGGAAATAATATTTTGAAGTGCCATAGTAAATGTTTTAAAAAAAAAATCCTATGTACTAACTCTAAACTCTAAATTACTAAACTCTTTTCAAACTGGTAAACTTCAAAATCTAGTGTCAAATTCCCCCCCAAAAAAACCATGTTTATGAATTTTTTTCTCAAATAAAATCTCCCCAAAGGATTTAAACTACCAGGAAGTTAACAATAACTACTTAACTGAAATGGTTGTTTCTGTCTTAAGGAACCTATACCAGGGTTGCCATGCTACCGAGAAAACTGGATAAAGTCAGGGAATTCAAAATTTGACCAAAAAAATTGAGAGAAAAGTTAGGGAATTTAAATATTTTAGTCAAAATCTGGAAAAGTTAGGGAATTTAAATATTTTAGTCAACATCTGAAAAAGTCAGGGAATTTCATATGGCGATCACCCCAAAAAAGCGAGTTTTCAGCCGACGTTGGAAGCGATCACTTTCTTGACGAATTGTGTATTGTGTGAGCGTCATTCAGACAGCTCGCATAGAGTCAATTTTCGCAGCTCCAGTTAGATTGTCTTTTAGAAAGGCAAATCAAGTTTCCAGTAACTTTAGTTTCCACTAACCTTGAGAATATTATGTGCAGTGCATGTTGAACTAAACGAAATACTTATTCTTGTGTAAAACAAAATCAGGTTAATCCTAGTATACGTTAATAAGGAGATTAGAATCAAAGAATATGTATTGTTAAGAAGGAAAACTCCGCAACAAAGAGGGAAACAGCTGCGCATGCGCGAAATGTCTGTCGCCAAAGCTCAAAGCCGGTGTCGAAGTTCGAAGGACATTATCAAGAGTTCATAAAATTAATATTGTTTGAAATTTCTTTAACTCTTTTGTGTCGAGATTCGACCATATCTGTTTTCATCAAACATCGAAAACGCCCGTGTTTACGAATTTGTCTTGGAATAGTTTTCCTTACCCCTACCTAGTAGACAGCTACAGCATTAACAATAACCTACTTAAGTGAAATGACTGCTTCTCTCTTGGAGGTTTTTCTGCAGTTTCATCCATTGTGTCCAGTTTCAGTTTAGGGCTGGATTGCACCTGCGAACATCTATAGCTTTCGGTATTTCTCCTCATTTTTGCAATGATTTGAATACTTTATATTTCATAAAATAATCAATATTAAGATGTCATAGCTTTAATTTAAATAAAAAAATATATATATTTATATGCTCAATAACATTTTCCATTGTATAAAAATGATAGTGCAGTGGACTCTTATAATAAACAAACATATATAGGGGAATTCGTATACATGGATTTGTTTTTATTTGAATTTAGTAATTTAGTTTTCTTTTATTCTTATATAAAATGGAAAAGTATGTTACTTTTTTATCTATTGTCAGTGCAAGAAGAAAAGAAACATTTTCATGGAAGTAGTTGATAAATGGTGGTTTGACAGAATTTAAATATTACCAGTTATCAGCCACCCATCCCAAAAATTAGAAATGTCTTATATTTCCGTAATTTTATGTTAATAAACAGAAAAACATCTTCACTCAGAAAGTTAGTGCTGGTGAATAGAAATTTATATCAGAAGAAGTGCTATAGGAAATCAAATCTCTTTTATTGCTGAAATCCCTTCATGTAATATGCATCCATTTACAGGATTAACAATAAGCATTTACCAACATGCATTTTATTAATTTGTGTAGATTTGAATCAATAGTTTGTGAATTAATATTATCTTAGCAGGAAAGTTTTACTTGTATATTGAGAAATGACTATTAGTTGTACATATATGATCGTTTTAAAACTCCAACTTTAAAAAAATGTACTTTAATAGGGGCATTTTTAATGGTTTTAACATAAAAATTATAGTTATACATGAGTAGGAACACTTATAAATATTCGAACTAAAATAACACTTGTACTTGCTTGAAATTTCAAGTGTAAGATACAAAAAAGAGATAAAGAAAAGGATAGTTAAACTGTTTATTATGTTCATTTTGCTTCACATAAAACATAAATAGGAATATTTTAATAATGTGTGAAATAAGAAAAATTAATTTCCTTTTTGCATTTTCTGTTACTTTCATACCAAAATCATATGATTTCGCTTTAAAAATGTTTAAGTTTAGATAGTAGACAAATGCACTTCTTTTATGTTATATGCTGGCCCTGAAAAGGGCCTTTTTTTCATATAGTAAAAAAGATTGGAAAATCTATTTCTCAAAGCAGCCTTTGCAAAGGCACATCTTGCAGATTTCGCATTCCCCATGTGCTTTGGATGGATTTGTTTGTTGAAGTTTTATTTCTTTGCTGCCGACATCTAACACAAGTTCTTTTACGTCCTTCGATTTTTCTTCGCTTATGAAAATGACTGGGAGTGGGTTCAAATGATGCTGAAGTGCACTTTCTGTGTGAATACACATTTGCTAATTCTTGTAATAGTTCCAGCTTGAAATGATACAAAGTTTTTGATCGTTTTTGTTGGAGATAATTTGTAGTAAGCTGAATTATATAGGTGTTGGTGATGGTGATGTCTAGAAGGAACCAAAATGCATACATCCAACATTTGAATGATTTTCTGGCAACTGTATAATATTTATGTCTCTGGTCTGCCAAATCTACTCCTCCTCTGTGTGTGTTATATATTGATAAAGAATGTGGGCAAAGGACTTCAGTTTTCTCTGCTCCTTTTCTTCTGTTTGCATAACACAGCTCATTTGAGGTGTTGGCTCACAGCATAAAAATTTGCTTTTTGTCTACCCAAAACATGCACAACAAATTTGGAAATTTTTTACTCTAAAAAATCTGACTTTCATTTAGGATTTTCAATTTTAACATTTTAATTTCAGTTAGTATGCATTCTGGTTGACATAACAGTTCCATAAGCATAAAAGTCAAATTTCAATAAATCAACCATCAGCTGAAAGCTGGTAAAAAAATCAATCAAAATAGAGTTCATGTCCTTTGCTTGTTAAGGACTTTATCAAATGTGTGACAATGTCATACCTCAATCCTTTGCCTGACCTCACAATTTTATCTCGTTTTCCCCCATTCAAATCAAAATTTACAGTGTAACCCAAATAAGATGTGCATGACATTCCAAATTTTAAGCACGCGCTTATCTGGTTTTAAAGGCATATACTGTACAATTCCTAAATACCCTTTGAATTTTACCATAGCTTCATCAATGGAAAGATTTTTATAAGGCTTAAAACAATCTGAAAACCACCCTTTTACCTCAGAAATAATAGGCTCTAACTTTTGCAAAAAATTAAAGTTTTCTTCATTTTCTTTTACCTCCTTTTCTCTATCGGACATATGAAAATAATGTTTAATATATTTAAAAATTTATCTCTACACATTAATTTCTTTATCACTTCGTTGCCACAAGTATAGGATTCTGGGACCATTAATCATTCATTCTACGTAAATGCATAATGCTCAATACGAAAAAACAGATATAAAAGCCCATATCTCATTTATATAGTATCGGTTGTATTAGTATATGTCTCATTTATTGTAAAGGAGTATTGCTTCCATCTCTTCAACACCACTTTTTTTTTTCCACAAAATTCTACATATTTATTTGTATTTTGTATAATTACTTCGTAGTATTCATCGGGCATAAGTATGATCCAGTTGGCAAATTATGAGGTGGCTCAGGTGAGGAAGAGAAAAATCCAAATTTTATGTCCTTATTATTTATATTGTTCTTCCAGTCTGGTTCAAAGGTATCACAAAGATAGTACAAACTTTCGTCACTTTTTAAAACATATTGTTCTAAATTATCATTGTGTTCGATTTCATTGTTTGCATGTTCATCATCTTCATCGGATTCAACTGAAGCAGATTCATCTGTTTCTGCAAATAATATGGCATTTATTTCTTCTTGCATTAATGTATTACGTCTTCTGAACATTTTTTGATGAAGCTACAGAATGGCAGAAAGATGTTTTCTTTACCTGAGGAAGAAGCAAAATAAGTGGTCTAGATGCGAGTCACCTCACCTGGCAGTGACAAAGAAGAGCGAACATGCATTCAGATAAGAAAGGTTCTTTAGTTGCTTCAAAAGAATGATTAATGTGTCTCTTAACAACTCGCGAAACCAATGAGTCATACACTAACGTGGAGGGGGGAAGCACTAGGTAGAAAATAAATGAGGCGTTGGGGCAGTTTGCCATTGCCTGAATGAATGGGCGTTACAGGCGACTTCGATGCGAAAGAGTAAAGGAAAAGAAAATATTTTTTCACATAAGTAAATTAATTAATGAATTAATTATTTTAATTAAACAAAAAGAGTACGAAAATCCGTGTTTAAATTATTGCGAAAAGTCAAAGAAAATTTTTTCTTAACATGTGTTCCTCAGTTTCTTTTACACGTTGCGGAGAGGGAAATTCTCGACGCCAGGTTCCGTCACCAAATCCCTTGGCGAATTTTTTCTCTGCTTTCTAGCAGCGTAATAGCATTACGTCTATGGAATCTTTCTTTCTTTACTTAGATGTTCTTTGGTTAGAATAGCCTCCAGGTGTTCTACATACAGGATTTGCCGACATTATGATGAGCAATAAACGGGTCATTTTGGTGTTGGCGACAATTTTCAAAACCGTGCCAAGGCCCTAGCGTATATTAGGATTTTACTGCAAAATCTTTTAAACTTTTTTTTTTTTTTTTTTTTTTTTCAATAAATGCCTTATTTGTTATTTTGCAATAAAATAAAAAATACAGTCAAAAGTCTTTAATCCGGACTTGTCGGGACTTCGGCGATTCCGGATTATAGATCATCAGTTTAAATCTGGTAAGATGGCATACAGAAATTATAAAATTAAAAATATGAAATAAAGAGCAATTATGATCTAAAGGGTATCAAAATTTACCAAAAAAAAAAAAGCTTAATATTTATTTCTTTACTTTATTAAACATTTCTTTCAACGCGCACACGCGTAAAGCATACATTACGCGTAGTCGAAATTAGAAAATTGCAATCAGAAAACTATTTGATGTGTATTCGTGATATTTATAATGACGAGGAATTTGATTTAAAACAAATCAAAGACTGATTTAATATAACTATAGTCGCTAAAATATCATTGATTATTCTAATTCAATTTTTTAGTAATTATTTTTATGTTATTCATATCATTTAATGTTGCTTCTTCCATCTAAATTTATTTATTATTACTAAATAATACTTTCAAATTTCAGGACATTTTCTCTGGCATAGTCCTGAAATTAATTCTAGCAGTATGATGACATACCATCACAAAATTTAATGCACATATTTTTTGCTTATGTATGCTGCTAAATAAATATAAAATACCTGAATTTATTTAAAAATATCATTAAATAGATTTTTTTCTTTCATTTAGCTTCAAAATATCTGCAAAAAAGACGTTTTTTAATCAGATTGGGCAGATTCTAATCTCAATCTTTAATGGAGAAAACAACTCCTTTTATGGTTATAATAGTAATGCTTTGGAAATTATATTTATATATACGGCGAATTTTTGTGTTTTAAAGTAATACCATAATTAATTTACTTCGTAGCACAGCCAAAGTGCATTATGCGGATAAACTGGAATTTTCTTAAAACACACCTGGAAAACCCTGGAAAAGTCAGGGAATTTCATTCTCCTGTTTGAGTGGCAACCCTGCTGTACTAACATTGTTAGATTTTGGTCCTTTGGATTGTACCGCTGTGGGAGGCATCAACAGCTTTATTTTACTGTCAGTGTTTGGACATCTTATACTTACAAATCACTAGTTTTGAAGTTTACTAATTTTATCTTTCACCTAAGGAAAATTTATTTAGATACAAATTTAAACTGGGTAATTTTTAAAGTATTGTATCATATATCTGTATCTGTTCCCGTTAGGGGAAGAAATAAGATGCTTAGTTAATTAAGGCCGTATTGAAAATTTTCATTTGTGTACAAAAATTAGAGATGCCTGTTTTTCTGTAATTTTTAAGTACATAAATGTACAATTTATAAAAAAAAAAAAAAAAAAAAGTTTCAGTGTTGGAATCAAAAATTTATTGCTATATGGTTAGAAATATCTCTACTCGAAGGTTTTCGTAGAAAATTTTCCAAAGGGGAAGAACATAAGAATGTGTTTATTAGTCGTATGATTGAATATTGTAGTTTGTCTTTGATGTAGTAAAGAACTGTCCCAACTATTTTGTGTGTTCATCTCATTTTGGTGAGATATTTTTCTTAATGGATGTTTTAATTAGTACTTTTTTTTAACAGTGTGGATAATGGAGTAACATTTTCTGATGAAAAAAGTATTGATGTAGATACTTATAAAACCTCTGTGTCATTTTGCAAAGTAACGCCTTTAACTAAAACTTTTGATGCAAATGCAGTTCATTTTTCGATGGAACATGTGACAATTGATGAAAATAAAAACAGTAGCTTAGAAACTTGGCTTTGTAAAGGTGGTCTTGAGCGGAATCATAATGTTTTGATGGAATTGCATTTAAATAAGGTAAATAGATAAATAAAATTCTAATATTTATTTCTTTGTGTCCAGATAATTTTTACATACATTAATGTATATTATATGCTATTCTAGGTGCAATTTCAGCGTGAAATTTATCCCCTTGACAACGAATATGCTTCACGTTATATATTGCTGATACATGATATTGAAATCAGAGATCGATTAGCTTCTTCCCAGATAAATAAATTCCTTTATCAATATTCAAATAAAACAATGCCACGACAATCTCATTCCAATATGGTAAGTATTTTTTTATTATTAAACTTTTATTAATATTTAAAAATGAAATACATAATTATTTGATATGTATCTGTGTCTATACATTCTGTTGTATGAACTATATTTGTTTTGTCTTTTTTTCATTGTATATGTAGTTATAAACCAATATTTGCCATTTCTACAATTTATTTATTTTATTTCTAGGTGTAATTTTTACCTAGATTTAATTTTTTTAGGAAGGGGAGAATAAGATTTGGATGAATGTATTAGTTATTTCATTCATTTATTTGTTTGATGAGCTTGTATCTTGTTATTTTAGATTGATATTAAAGCTGTATATACAAGACCAGATCCAAAGCGATCATCTGCATCATACAGTAATTCTGATGTAGAGTGTTCTTTGAAAGTGTCTTGTAATCCATTACGATTAAATGTAGATCAGGTAAGTTATATATATTTTGAAAATATTGTGCAATTAATTTCTAATGCAGAAATGTGTATATATATTTCTTTAAATCCTGACATAACACATCTTTTTTAAATAGGATGCACTGATGTTTCTAATAGAGTTCTTCCAGGAAGTATTAGAAATTTTTCCAGAAGACAGTTCTGAAGGTAAGATATTTTCACATCTTTATCTATGTGCATAAATATTAATGGTGATTTTTAATACTTTCGAAGTTATTATACTTGTTACAACAATATGTCTTAATAAAGTATAATTCGTACAGCAGTGTTTAGTGTTATGTGTATCTGTTATAAAAATATTATCTAAAAACATGATGCCAGTGACTATGCTACTTCTTTATTACCCTTGCAGTTATAGATATTATGTGCTTCCCATTCCATAATATAAATCTGAGATTTAATTCATAATGATGATATATCAAACCTTTTTTTATCTCATATTCACATCAATATACTGAGTTTTTGCGTTATGTGAAAATTCTGCTGTTGAAAAAATTGCATTCTGTTTTTGTCCAGTTTTCAGCAGTCTGCTCCTTCCACTTTTTAACTCGTGTGTAGTTATTTAAATGGACATTTTTTAAAGAAGGTATTTGCATATGCACTGTACTAGGAGCACTTTATGGCCTATTTTTTGCATAAATTTTAAAATTATTCAACACGTTTCATATTACTAGAATTATGAATCACTGTGTGTTTTTAAAATTTTCATTTGCTTCAATCTTTAAAAATATTAAAAACATCTTTAAGAAAAAAAAAAGGGGGAGGAAGAGTTTGTACTTGCTAGTAGCTAGCTATCTTGTTAATATTTTTAGAGGTTTTTTGGAAATTTCTGTGTCATTAAACATAATATAAAATATTTGTATATTCAATAAATTAGAGTTTGGGCATGTTTAATAGCCACAAATAAAGGCCCAAAGTCCACGGTAGGTAAAAATAAGTGTAGAATACAGCCTTTAGATTTAAAAAACACTGCAGAGAAAAACTGAAGTGGACTTTGTAACCTCGGGGGAAAATATCAAGAGGTAGATTGAAAGTGATTTAGTGACAAATGGTAGAAGAGGAAGGAGAGGCAAAGATGAATTACTGTTTAAAACTGAGATTTGATTGGAAGAAAAGGACCCTTATACACTTACCTTATACTCTTATACATACTTTTGTAAGAAAAGGACCTTTATACACCTATTAGACATTAGAATAAATGTCTTGGGTAAATAATCATTTATCAAAATTAATTGCACTTACTCAGTGCTATGCACAAATGATTTTTTCCCCTCCAGCTTAATGCTTTTTGTAGTAAAAAAAAAGGGGGATATTTTTAAAAAATGATTCATACTTTTTATTTAGACCACAGTATTAGAACTCTCAAAGTCAAAAAATCTCAAAATCAAAAAAGTAAACTTAATATCGATAGGAATTGTATTTTACTGGATAGAACTGATTAGAAGGCATTACTTTTATTAGCAGTTTAAATCTGAAAGAGCATATTCAGGCTTCAAATGTTTTGTTTACCACAAGAAGGACTTCTATCTGCATTTAAAGAAGTGTGGACTATAAATTAGAACTGTTAGCCTAGAATGCCTCTGTTATTAATATTGATGTGAAATTGATTAAAACAAAATGAGAATCAATGGATTACAGCACATGGGAAGGGAGGATTTTTAGCTTCTTTTAATTGAAACTTAAATAATTATATACACATGCATATGGCAGGCTAAAAGCCTAAATTCAAATACAAAGTTTGAAAAGTGGGAACTTAATAGTGTCATCAAATATTTCTAACATTTAATTATGCTGCACATTGCAGTTCGAGTATTTAAACAATGAAGACTGAATTACTCGTCAGTTTTACATTCGTACATGTCCAGGTGAGGAGGAGGGAAGTATTCAGACTGACTGACTTGTAACATCATCTTTTGGCAGTATTAACAAATATATCTCAACAACATTACTAATTAATAAAATGAATTTAAGTTTTTTATTACTTTAAGAATCTCCTAAATGTTTTAATGTAATATTTATTTTTCTTAATATGTACTGAAAATATTAAACATGAACAATAGAAAATTAGTAGCTCTTTTCTAATGCTGAATTTTAGATTGTATTACATTTTTCATAGTATGCAATCAAGATTGTGCTGTAAATTAATCAATTTAAATATTTAATTTGAATTAGGTGAATCAGAAAGTGGAGCAGTAAATGTATCTGTGAAAACTTCTAACACATGCACTAATCAAGTTTCAAATTTATCTGCTGGAAATCAAAATATAAAGACTTCTGAAACCTTTTATAGGTAAAATGTAATTTTTTAGTAGTTCATTTGAAAGTATTTTCAATTAGGCATTTCAGCCTTTATAAAATTACTTTTATTTAGTATTGAGAAAATGATAAAATGTATTTCCCAATTTCATTCATATAGTTTCTATTATTACACCTGCTTCTAAATGCCACTGGCGAAACCTAGAATTTTATATAAAAGTTTATTGAAATTGAATTATAATTTGTATAATTCTTGTTAAGACTTTATTATACTTTTTAATGCATTTTTCTTTTTGTGTAAGCAACACAATTTTTAAAATTTATTATTTAAAATAACTATAACTGGGTTTAAAATTTATTATTATTATGAACTATTTTCATTAATTTGATATTTTGAGTTTAGTCTTTTCTCTTTGGTAAATCACTGATTTCAATATAATGTTTCTTCTATTAGGTTTTTCTCTTTTTCTCCTGAAGTTTTAATTCGTATTGATTATCAAGGAAAACGTGTTGTTATGGAACAGGTGAATTTTTATTTAATTTTATTTAAGGGTATAAATTTTGTATTTAATGTTTAGTTACATATTTTTATTACTTGCATATATTTTCTTATTGTGTGGTTGAGTTGTTTCATATACTGATGTTTATTTAAATTGATATTCATTCAATAATAACCATTTCATTCCTGTAGATTGCCAAAAGTTATGTCTGTATCCTATAATGCAGATGTTGGTACATTATTTAACAGAATTTGAATTACTTGGAGGGACACATTTTTTATCTACACTATATTTAATTCAATTTGAGAGTTTTTTTTATCTCCAGTGTGACTGTACCCTCTATATTTCAGTACCCCTGACTAGTTTAAATTCTTTATGTCTTCCTGCAGTTTCCTCTTTTGGAGTTTATTTTAGTGATCAGCATTAGTCGGTGAAAATTTCTTCTTGTTATTAAAGTATCTGCTGCTTGGGGCTTCTTTCAATTACAGATCTGTAAACATATCTGCTGGACCTCTCTTCATATCTCCCATTCTTGTAGATGCTCACCTAGTTTTTAACTTACCGCTATCTCAACTGTCCTAGCATACTCGAATTTTGTAATTCAGCAAAATCCTGAATCTGAGGCAGCAACCTAGACAACATGATTTGGATAATCTGCATCAGGCTTTTTCCCATACAATAAGTTCATTACTTGTATTCTTCTCAGTATAAACTCATTTAACTCTTATCACCTTTTGTTATCTATCAAACAGTTCCGCTCTTAATTTCGCCTTGTCTTTAACCACTGGGAATGCTTTCACAAGGGCAGTTTTAAATATGTCAGACTTGTAAATCTCAGTGCTTGGTTCACCCAACAAAGACTTACCGATGTATATGTACCAGCTCACTGCCTTGAAGTGCAGTGGTTGGTATTGTGACCTGTAATTTTGCAGCTGGGTAAAATAGAAATGTGTCTCTAAATGTTACAAAACTGTCACTACTGAACTTCTACCATCAAAATAAGGCCTGGTTTCATCTAAGCTCTCTTATTTTCTAGGATGAACCCAAAACCTTCTGTTGGGCTTACTGGTGGGAGCCTGTGGTCTTGGGGGGGACGGCAGACTAAATGTTGCTTTGTGTTGAGACATGATCCATAATTTGTTCAGGAGCTATGGTATGGTATGGTTATGTATAGCTATGGTATGGCACTTATCTGGTAATGTTATTTTAGTCTAATAACCTTAACAGGCATGAAGTGAACTATCACTGTGCCTGAGAACAATGATAAAGTCCTGAAAAGGTTAAAAATAGCCTTTTTATGTAAACAAATATTCGAACATAAAAGCACTCTTTTGTGCTGCAGTGTAACCGCAACTTTGCAATGTTGTCAATGAAATAGTGGTATCCAAATTAATTCAAACATTGAGTGACTAATGGCTCACTAACTGTAAGGGAGCATCAGAATTAAAGTGTCATTAGCAATGGAATGCAAGGCTGAATAATTACCACTATCAGAGCTGGCAGGAAACTAACAACATAGCTGGCACGATATGCCAAAAACGTGCTCTGTCCAAAAACCTCAGTTTAAATACTCGCTACTCATTTTCATCCTGTTGAGATTTGATTTATGACTTACTTGTTCATTGTTATCGCAATAAGAAACTTGTATTGAATCACCTTTATTTATCACTTTTCCCCCGCATTTCTTCCTAAATTCCATTGATTGGAAAAGTTCGCTTTTTATTTGTGATATCTTAAAATCTTCAAATTTATGGCTATCATCATAAAGCTTCACCCGCATCTGCTTTACACTCCTGTCAATAATATATCATGAGATCGGAGACTAGAAGCATTCTGCTAAATTTTGTCTTCCTTCTATTGCATGCTAATGAAATTAGGCCTGAATTATATTAGTTTAGTTATTTATTATACTTATGGCCATTTCATAAACATACTTAAGGTTTATCTGAGTCCAGAGTAAGTAAATTCCAGTCCCAAATAAATAAATTACACAAAGCTTATCCAGGATCAGCCTTAGATGTTTTTCGGCCCAGTGAAGTCTCTGCAGGTCCAAAGTTCTGTTGCCAATCAGCGCCCCTAAATTTTGCCTAATAAAATTTGCCAGTACCTTTCCTAAATTCTAAAGATATTGCTATCTCATAATTTTATTGATCAGTGCTCCTTTCAATTCTAAAAAATTTGCTTCCCCTTAATTCTGCCATTTGGTCACACCAGCTCTGGCACTAGTCCTGGGCTTAATTGAATAACATTTTTGATTCAGACAGCTCTCAGTGTTTAACCTATGAGTATCATTTACAAAATCTGATTTTTTTTCAAACCGAAAGAAATTCCTGTTAAATTTCTCCTCATCAACACTCTTTGCAATTTGCAGCAGAGTTAGCTAATCTAAAATTCTGAAACATGATGAAACAAGTGCTACTTTTACAGTATATCAAGGAAAGAGAAAAAAAATTTAATGATTTTAAGCACTGTTCATTCATCTGTCGATATAACTAACAATGGGGGGGGGGGGAAAAACCCAGAAACTGTTAGTTTTTAAAATGCAACCAAATGTGGTGTCTATGTAATTGATCAGATAGTTAGGAAGTACACTGTAAAAGCACCTTGTAGAAGATGGCCTGTTCATACTTTTTACAGTATGTTAGATTTAGCTGCAAGAAATGTTTGGGTTATTTCTTAAATTACAATGTGCGACCAGATGTTAGCTGATGAAATGTGTCAAAACTACATATGCCTTACTAATAAACCTAAAAGAAATGCAAGCAGAACAGTTCCACCAGAGGAATCAGCCCCAAAGAGAAGGAAATGCGAGATAAAACTTTATAATGGTAATATGACTACTAATATTTTTATTTCAGGGAAGAAAATATTGTGTGAAAAATGTCATGCAAAGCTAAATTTTACATACAAAAACTGCATTCCTGAATTTTAGTTTAAAATGAATTGCATTCATATGAATTTAGTGAAAAGCATGCAGTTTTCTTCATTTTCTTAAAATCATAAATTCAGTTATCTTTTTTTAAATTAATGTTTTTATTTATTGTTCCTAATTACAAATTTAAATGTTTTAATTGAATAATATATATTCATTATTGTGTTCTCGTTTATGTCTTTAACTCATAAATCACTGAAGTGAAAATGAAGGTTGCGGGTGTTCGAGTATTAAGATAGTTTTCAGTTTGAAATAATACGAATAACTTAATGTAAATATTAATTCAGTGCCCTAAACTTTTATTTTAAGAAACTCTAGTATAGAAGAAAAGAGAATTTGTTAAATATTAAAGTTGAGAGAGATTCTGTATTTGCAACAAATTAAGAAGGTACAAATTTTGTGTATAAGAAAGTTAGAATTTGTCTTACAGACTATGTACATTTTTACTGAATTTCAAGGTTACTTCTTATCTCAGTTTGGGTCGGTTTCTGATTATTGAAAACAAATCTTATTTCCTCTTCAAATTCCTTTTATTGATAGTTAACTATATTATATTTATAATATCATATTTATATATGGTAATATATAAATATAATATACCTGAACAAAAAAGACCAAAAACCTCTCTATATGTATATGTGTAAGATATGAAAGCAAACTTCTAAATTTAATTTACTATAACCTCTTTTCTATTTCATTTGGGAACCTCATCTATCTGCCCTAAAAATAGCGCTTAAGTCTAAACTGCGTCATTCAAATTAATCATGCGATCTTACGTAACCCTTAATGCCTCTTGACAATCACCGAGTTGTAAACCATACCTAAAAACTGACTCCCTCCCTTCTTTCTATGACCTGATGCGTCACTTTTCATTTAAGCTTTCCTCTTGGCCAGAAGCTTTGTGGCTACCTTCTTTGTTTAAGGAATATATGCTGATCTAACAAAAATGTAGAGAGCATAAGATGCTCGTCCATATGTGAACAAAATATTACGAATCCCGATATGCTTTCCTCAATAATGTTAAGTAAAGTAATAAGTTATTTTGAATTCAGACGTGTTTGCCAAGTTTCTTCGTTATTGATCTATTACGCCACCGCCAAGCTCCAAATCATTCATTTTATATCATGACATACATATTATATTAGAATTGACATACATTAATATATTAGAATTTAGAACAAATGTGCAGAAAAATTAACTGTCATAAGTGAAACAAAATGGATGAGTTTCTATTACAATAATTTAGTGGTGTGGGATAAATTTTTAATTAGAATTAATGCATTAGCAAAAACAAATATGGTCTGCTTTCTTTTCCTTTCTCTTTATCTCTTATCCCCCCCCCTTAAAGTTTCTGTTAAAATATTGTACATTTGTTTCATAGTTGAGTCTTTTGCATAGATGTAGGTACATTAAACAAATGATTGTGTTTTAATATTTATTCTTCTAATATCTGAAATAATGCTTCAGTGTTAAATATTTTGATATTTAAAAGCATGAGATAAGTTATGTGTATCATTACAGTTAATTTCAATATTATTTGATTTTTAGGGTGCTTTGCGGGGCCTTTTAATGGGGCTTGGACAGTTAAATTCTTCAGAAATAAAATTAAAAAGTATTTGTTATCGTCATGGGTAAGTTTTCTAAATCTTTGTTATTGTATGTATTCATAAAAGTTCCCCCACCACCACCATTCAATGAGCTTTAAAATTTATCATAATTTAGCTGCTGTTTCTCACTATTTAAATAGAAAGTTACCTAGGACAAATCAAACTCAGTTTTTAAGTTTCTAATTCTAGCAGCTGTTAATCCTTCACTAAGAAGTTTTCAATAGAGTAGATTTTATAAACATTTTTCTTATTTAGCATATAAAAGGGGAAATTACGGAATGAATTGCGTTGATAGCTGCATTCACTTGTGCTTTTTCCCAGGGTACATATTGTGCTGCTTCAGCCACAGTCATATCTGTGGTATATTCTCCTGAAATACTTTTATGTGCTACTTTATTATGTTCATGCTGTTTTGGAGATACAGTCTTATGTGAGTTATGCAAGAAATAAACGTAGGTATAGTAAATAACTAATACAATTCAGGCTTAATTTAGTACGCAAAAGGAGCAAGACAAAACTTAGCACAACAACTTAGCTTTTGTTGCCAATCTTGTGATGCACAGCCAGTAATGTATAACGGGCGCTATTAAGCTAGGCTTAAATTATCTTTACTGATTCTAAGGCATTTCAGTTAATGTAGCAGACTGAGCTGCTCCCTAATCTTTTAGTTTGATCCAGCTTATTATTTTTTGCAGACTGTTATTATTACAGCAATTTTATTAAAACTAAGCATGAACTTTCGATTATGTCGAAAAGAGTTCCCAATTCTGGAGCTGCCAAAGAATCTACAAAACGAAACCATGTTTTGATGTCTATTAAATAAAAAGTGAAATTGCTGCAAAAAATGGATAAAGGCATATCCGTCTCAAAATTATACAAGGAGTATAGCATTGGAAACTCAACTGTGTATGACATAAGAAAAAAGAACTTTTTGAATTTTTTGTGGAAGCAACTTAACAACTTACATTGAAAGAAATGTAATAAAGTTTCCGGAATCGCTGAAGTCCCAACGAGTCCGAAATTCGGGCTTTGTACTGTATAACAATTTAAGTAATAATTTAAAATGTAACCAAAAAATTATGTCATTGGGTCAGAAAATGTTTTTAGCCTAAAGGGCATTAGCCCAGAAAGGCTATTAATTTCGTTTTGGCATTTTGCATCGGTTCAATTTTCAGATTGTTGCCACCAAACATTAGAGTCCTGTGTTATATTTAAAGAAATTAAGTAATGAAGAATCTGCATAAATGTATGTATGTTTCTCACACGGTACCTAGAGCCATCAAATTTTGAATAATGTACATCTAGACCCAAATATTCTCATCTGGAAGCCCAAATTTGGAATTGGAAATTTGTTTTATTAGCAATTTCATATTTTTTAACACTTTAAAGAATTTCTAATTAACAAACTCAACAATTTCAAAGCGAGCAATGGCAACACTGTATGGGGGGTGGACATTTGTATCTTCAGCACGCGAAACTGTTTATCGGAAATTCTAAAGATATGCTCATTTAAAAATTATTTTGCGATATTGCTGTTGAATTGAATTTTATGGTTTAAGTGCGAAGAACATGATATTTAATAAATAAAAAAAACACACAAAATGTTAAAAAATCTGAAAACTTTCTTTTTTTTTTTTTTTTTTTTAAACCCTTTCCCTTTGAAGGGCACCGATACCGGTTGTTTGTTAATTTTTTAACCTCCGAAAAAATGCTAATTTTTCTACACCAAAAGCTATAATCGTAAGTTTCTAGTGTTACCTTTCAATTCTAAATGGTAGCATCACCCTATGAATGCTCAATATTTTGCAGTTATGAAATTAATATACCTCTTTGCAAGGTATCATGTTGAAAGATTGATAAATTCTATTGGAAGGAAAGAAAAGATTCAAAACCTGCAAATATATGACGTACATATGCTGAATCTTATATATTTACTTCATTTTTGTCAGAAATGATAATTAACAGAAGATTATTTATACGATTTTAAAACCGGTATATAATATATACCGGCGCCCACACTGAGGGTACCACGCCAATAGATGGCAGCACCAGTCTTCTTCTTTTATACTCTGTGACATGACAGAATTTCTTTATTATTATAACAGTTTTATGATGTAATAATTTTTTCATGATTAATTTATAAGTCGTTTAGGATTCAGTATTATGTTCATGGAGGAATGGGGAGTTTATTGACTCCTGCGCTAGGACTGAATACAAGTATATTAGTTTCATTTATTCTTTGTGTACTCAGCTCAAGTTTCATTCGTCTGTGTTTAGCTAAAATTTTTTATTTCAGCACTTATCTCCTTTCCCAAGAGAAAGACTCAATCGATTTCAAAATTGCCATCTGGGGTTCAAAACTTTACACAATTGTGGGGGTTAAATGTGGCATGTTAGCCCCCAAAAGACACCCGTTGCTTCGTGTTTTCCAAAATTCTAGAATGCAAGGAAAAGGAAAGAGGTGATTGACAACTAATTTGTCATTCGGGAGTCCCGCCTTCTTCCCTTTGTGAGGTGTGATAAGATCACACAAAGGGAAAGCTCACTTAAAATGGAAATGTACTTAAGGTCCATCTCACCCGAAGTCGTGAGCTCTCCGTCACTCTTCCTTCACAAAAACTGCTGGTTTGAAAGCATGCTTTTATTCTTTAGGAAAATTCTTTGTTAATTTCAGATGAAAGACTAGAGAACACAAGAGAAATCTGCGCTCTCGTTAGATACACCAATAGGTTGTTTCCGAAATAAATTCTCACAGTTGGTGAAAGGAGGAAAAATATTTCTAAGGCCCGTTTTAGATGCAAACTAAAATTTATCCAAAAGTTGAAAAGGAAAAAGCCCCTATGCAGCCAAAGGGGTTGCTTAAAATCAGAATAAGAGCTTTGAGGTGTGCATAAAATAATAAAATTGTTTAACGGCGTTTCTTCCTGAACAAAAAGATACATTACAACCTATATTTACAAAAAATAAAAAAGGACCCTTACGGTCCTTGATGATCTAAAGTGTGTGTGCGTGGAGGGGGGGGGCGATTCTTCGTATCATAGTATGAAGCATGGTTGTTTTTTCACATATTATCTAAAGTATAAAATACAACTTCAAAAATGCAACATACTTTCTCAGCTGAGTCGGTCGTAGTGCTTCATTTTTCAATTTTTTTAATTTTCGGCTGAGTTACATCTGCTTGTAATATTATACTAGTTCAGTTACAGCATGATACGATTTACACATGCAGTGTTATATTTGCTAAATTTTTTTATAAAATAATATTGAATTTAAATCAAGTTGAAAAGCTTTTTACCCATATTTTACATAAGTATGTTCAGCTGGGTTGCGTCATCAAAGTGCATAAAAAAACATAAATTTTATTTTTAAAGATTTAAATTTCTGCCAAAATTTTAAAAAAAAATTGTCTTTAGACTTACATAACTATATTCAAGCACTCATCACTACAGACGCACATCAAAAGTACCCAAAATTAATTTTAAAAACAAAGATTAACAGTTGGCAGCTACCTGGAAAAAAATGTCCTAGAGGGGCGTCGGTATAAAATATATACCGGCTCTCAAAATTCAGGATTTAGCTCTAGATTTTTTTAAAGTCTCAATTTTGTATCCTTAGGGTCCATAAGTTATAGTTCATGCAAAATTTTACCACAGATTAATTTATTTTATATACCGCCCCTCAAAGAGTTAAAGCCCAAAGGGCATTAGCCCGCAAGGGCTATTAATTTCGTTTTGGCATTTTGAGTTGATTCACTTTTTAAATTGTTGTCACCAAATATTATCGCTCTGTGTTATATAGTTAAAGAAATTAAATAATTAAATAACTGTATGTATGTTTCTCGCATTTTGATAAAATAACAGTATCTAGAACCATCAAATTTTGAATAACATAATATTCCAGTGAATATTGGCATCTGGAAGCTCAAATTTGGAATTGGAAATTTGTTTTATTATCTACTAACTGCTATGCGGCCAGCCGTTGTCTGGCTTTTAAATGTACCGGAAAAATGCCTGAAGCGAACACCAAACATTAAATTTAAAAACTGCACAGAATATTACTCTGCAGAACAAATTTATCAAAAAAAATCAATAAAGATGTTTTATATATATAAAAAAATGCCAATCTCTTAAAAACAGTAACATAAGAAATATGATGAAAAATTGTTGCCAAACCCATATTCTAAAAGAATGTAACTATTCAAAAAGATGTGGCTTCATCAAAAATCTATCAACAACAATAAGAAGTAAAATCGTTGCCAAAATCACATTTTTAAAGATGTGAGAAGTGTACTCCGAAGCTTCATTTAAAAGATTTTTTAAAAATACAAAATATTATCATTTTTCCAAAATTCTTTTTGTAAAAGCATTCACAAGGATGAAAGTTTAATGTGTCCAAAAATCAAAGAAAAGTAAACTGTACATTTTTAAAAATAAACTTTTTTAGAAAATATCCTGTTGAAAAGGTGTTAAGCTGTCTTCATTAAATAAATTTGTATTTAATCGATTTATTGAAACACGAAATTTATTTTAAGTTCGTAAAATAACTAAGTGCCTACGTTTCATGACAGTGGAGTGTGTAGAGTAAAATCTCGCTTTCCTATAGCCCATTATGTCTCAAAATGATGCAATTTTGTCACAAAACATAAAATTTTAAAAAAAAAAAAAAATCTAACTCGAATTTCGAAAAAATCGCTTCAAGGTGGACTGGCTCTTGTCTAGATGCACCTGTGTACCAAATTTCGTAGCCGTGGGTCTGTTAGCTTACACGCAGCGCGAACTAAAGACACTCACACAGACAGACTCTTTCTTTTATTATATGTATAGATTTAATATTTTGTAACACTTCAACGAATTTTTGATTAACAAACTCAGGGATTTCAAAGCGATCAATGGCAACACTGTATGGGGGGGTGGCATTTTTATCTCCAGTATGCGCAACTGTGTACCGGAAATTCTAAAGCTATGCTCTTTTTAAAATTATTTTGCGATATTGCTGTTGAACTGAATTTTATGGTTTAAGTGCAA